GTTCAGTATTCCGATTCTATAATAATACTGATGATGATGATGGCTAAGGCCTGGCAATGCGTTCCATGTTTCAGGCAATGTTTTCAATGCCCTGTGTGGATTAACTCATTTAAATCTCATAACAATCCCATACCGAAGACTGGCTGAGATGTGGAGAACTTTGGTAACTTGCAAAACGTTACAGATAGGAATGAGGCAGGCAGCGTTCAGATCCAGGGCAGTCTGGCTTCGGTGCCCGTTCTCTTAGCTATTACCCTGAAGCTCCAAGTCAACTGTGGTGACTGATGGTGACATTCAGAATTATGCCCAGATGTAAGGGAAGAAGAATAAATTCTGGACTAGGCTCCCAGCGTCACCAATCCCAGCCCCATTCACAAAGGGTCACATGTATAAAGGAGCCATTCTTTTTTCTATTCATTCATGTCCCAAACTTTTCTGTGCAAAGCGTATGCTAGGTGGTATAATGATACAAACGTGAATCAGATACCTGAGGAATGTACAGAGAGGAGACATTGTGAAATAGCTATAAAGAAGGCAGGACATGGTAAGAGTCACAAAAGGGGTACAGAATTCCTCTGACATAAAGGATGAGAGGAAGAGATGTTTTCTTTCAAGGAGTGGGCAGATTATTTTCTTTTTTGCATGTCTGAGTGTCCCAAACAGGATCACAGACACTACAACTTAGTTTTGAATATTAGCAGGGAATTTGAATCAAGCACTGGGGTTCCACGGACAATAGTTGACTGGAACGTATTCCCACCTCCTCCACGTTCTTGTTTGGGAAATCCTTTTCCCTTCATTATCTACACACCTGAACTTCCATGCCATTCAGAATTGTGGACGTGGGTAATCTAACATAAACAGTTCTGCTGAAGTAAAGTGTTTTCCGATAGAAGGCAGGTGATTTTCACAGTTAATCCTAGTTATCATTTAGTGAACTGAAAGAGTAAGAATTAAAAAATGTGCCCTATTTTGCTGGATGACTGCTTATAGCATTTTTGCATTTCTCTAAACTTTCTTTCTTTGTCTTTCCTCTCTCTCCCTCTTTCCTCCCTCCCTTCCTTTCTTTCTTTTCTTTCTTCTTTTCCTTCTCCCTCCCGCTCCCCTCCCTCCCAGCCTTCATCCTCTTTTGCTTCTTTTCTTTCAAAACCCAATACACTTATACTTACCCATCATCTGGTTAAAAGTGACGGAGCTATTGAACTACCAACTTCACAAACATATATCCATTAATCAAGTGAAGCAGAGTTTTTACCTCAGAGAGTCTGCTGCAAAAAATAAGACTAGTGGCATAAAATTTATACTTTAAAATTCATCAATCATATTGAAAAAAGTTGATACTTAATAAGAACCCTCAAGTATAACATTATGGCAAAATAATCTCTCAGAAATTTATGATTAATGTCAGATTTAAAAATTCTGATTTAAATATTATAATTTTTGTTTACATAAATTTATCAGGTGTATAAGAAGTGAAATAATTTTTTAAATTTTTTTAATGTTTATTTTTGAGAGAGAAAGAGAGAGTGGGGGAGGGGGAAGAGAAGGAGACACAGAATCCAAAGCAGGCTCCAGGCTCTGAGATGTCAGTACAGAGCCCAGTGTGGGGCTTGAACTCATGAACCATGAGATCATGACCTGAGCCGAAGTCGGACACTTAACTAAGCCACCCAGGCACCCCCGAAGTGAAATAATATTCTAACACTGAAATATAATGAAAATAACATGAAGCATTTTCCTAAGAATGTATATAAAGATATCTTATTTCTGTGTTCTAAAATATTCTTTAACCATTATTTGTGGAGTATTTCTGACTCTAGTATGTAACAATAAGAATCGGTTATAAAACACATTTGAGACAAAAATGGCAACCAACTGAATTATCTTACTTGGATCTTTGTCAACTAACAGACACTGGAAGTTTGAATCCAGTTTAAGTTATTCTGACTATAAACTTTAAATGAACCCAAATATATTAACTATATTGATATTTTTGAATGAGATGCCCCTACTAGTATTACATCCATATGTGCTGGCTGTAATTGGGAAAAATTAGATTTAATATTTACAAGAAGTCAGGCCCCAAAAACCAGCTGTTCCCAAGGCCTGTGTCCCTTTGGGCCTTTATACTCAAATGTCCCAGAGTATATATTCCTGCTATCCATTCCAGAAAGGATGAAGTACATTTTCCACAATTGTAGAAAAGATCCAGATTACAAAAGTTTTATAAATAATTTCACAACTGATCTTAAAGCACAACATCCTTTAATGACTCTTATTATATACTGGCATATTCATACCCTGAAAGAAGGCATATACCTAGGTAGACCAGTTGAAACTATCACACGTTTGTGCATAATGCAAAAATATACAGCACTCAGGGGGTTCAGTATAACCGCCATGGGACTGGATGCTGCTTGCAGTATTTCCTTTTCCAGTAATTCTGGAATTGCATGAGTCGTTCATTATAGATACATCTTTTGTACGGCTCAGCTGGCAAAGCAATAGTCTAAGAGTTATAATCCCACTTTAATAACTCCTGAAAAGTATTTTCTTAAACAATTGTTACTCTGTTATTTAGGATCTTTATATTTCAATGGAAAAATATGAATTTCCCAAATTGTACCTATGAAATGAAGGCAAGCCTGTTTATGTATATATATATATGTGTTTTTTCAGTTTGAGGCTAGATAGTGAGAACTATGTTCTTGTATATGTCTCTGCTTAACTGAAAGAGAGAAATTTGTCCATTAGGAAAAAAAAATGCACAAATTAACAACTCTGGAAATTATATGCAGGTTTTTTTTTGCTTATTCTGGATACCCTCCTGCCCCCGTCTCCCATGCTAGGTACATATTTGCTTTGAAAGTTCTGACCACTCTCAAGAATTGTAAAAGGTCTGAGATTTTACTCTACTAGAAAGCTGGTGAGTTGGCCTGCTACCGTGTTTTCAATTCTGGTAGAAAACATGGGGCTCCTGTGTCAGAATCAAAGGGTGTGTTACTCCCAGCACAGCAAGTACTACGAGCTTCATGTGTATGTCAGTTGTCCTTGCCCCTCAAGACCCATAAGAGGGAGATGCAAAAGGGCTCAGGTGAATGCTGTGAATTCAGTAGATTTCCATCATAGCTGAGGAGCCCCAAGTTTAAGAAACCCCAATATTTTATAACAAACTGCAAGCAGATGTGTTTGATCTTTGCCCTATAGGAGACATTATAATACTAGAGGGTTTGTTTACTCTCTTGGAGGGAAACACACTGTTTCTATCTTCCAAGGTATTTGCTATACAGACATCTTTAGAAAGAGTCCAGAAAAAAGCATAGTTAGTGGTAGTATCCTTGCTCACAAAATGTGCAGAAATATGAGATATCAGTGGGGAATTTTCTCCAAATAATTTTATCTTTTGTTTCTGCATCATCTTTGCTATGGCAGACATGTCCAAGATGACAACATTCTAGCTAATCTAACTGATAGGAGCTGGGACCAAATCTATTTAGTTTGTCTCAAACAGCATTTAATTGGGACTATTCTAGGCAAGGTTCCAAGCAGAAGGATAGGGCTAACATGCACTATTTACCTCAATCATGCCATGACTCCATGAACCATTAGGGTGTCCTGTAGAAAACCAGATGGTTTCTCCTTAAATTTCCAAATTGATCTTTTCACCTGGCTTGAGGAATTAAGCTGGATGCACAAAAATGTATTCAAGATTGCCCAACATCTACATTGTCTTGCAAGTAAGAAGTATAGGGCAATTCTCTCTCAACCCTGGTCAGTGAGTTCTGACCGAGCTGGATGCCTTCCAGGGCAGAGGGGGTATTCCTTAAACATGGAAGGTCTGTTATGACCCCTGCTAAGGTGCAAGCCACTATGTTTTGGGGAGGAAGACATGTTAGTGCCTGGCTTCTACATGAAAAGGCAATTCTGAGGATGCTCTTGGAAAGAAAGTGTTGTTTATAATTGATGGTGACCAAATAGAACCTACATCAGTCATGGAAGCAGAAGTTGAGAGTCATTCCAATGTAATCCACCTGGCTGGATTGTTGCCTTGAGGTTCAAAATTCAGTTTAAATAATTAAATCTACTTTTCTTTTTCTCTCTTTCTCTCTTTCTTTCTCTTTCTTTCTTTCTTTCTTTCTTTCTTTCTTTCTTTCTTTCTTTCTCTCTTTCAGGACTACCAGTTTTCCACACTACAAGCTAGTTGACATTCTTCTGCCATATGAATGATTAAAAATTAGAGTGGAGAAGACATCTAGATGTATTTTGGGAGTAAGGGCCATACAGTTCTCAGGTAGACATAGTGAGAAAATTAAGAGGAATGGTCAGATTCATCTGGAAGGGAATAGATGGCTGACCTAGGATTCAATTGACTTTAAGTAACTAAAGTTAAGTTTTGAAGAGCCTTACTGAGACATTTTCTTTCATGTGAAATTTTCCATAGGAGGCTCTGAAAGGAAATTATCACTAATTTTCCTCCTTTCCTTGTTTTTCTTGGTATGTAAGATGTTCCCTCTTCAGGTGCCAGGATCATTCCTCTTCTTCATCTTCATAAAATCAGTGTTTCCATTCCAGTAGCTATAACCTCACCCTTTTTCCAGTCATCCTGCACTCACACCAACCCTTTTATACAAAGGATCATTTGCAAGAGCAGCCAGGGCATTCCTATAAAACTTACACATACGTACTATGTCCCATACTTCGTCCTATATGGGCTACTGTAAGAGGACTCACTAAGTAGTGGAGAGCCAAATGGTCATTATCCTGATGATGTAAGACCATATCAAGTGAGAAGAGATCCAGGTGGCTGGACTTTAATTAAGTTTGAATCTCATATGCCCCTTTTTGGGTTGGCAGTCAAGAAGGTGTGACAACCAACCTAGCCAAGAATTATCCTTGGGAGAAAGAAAGTAGCAATATGCCCAAGAATGGTTAGAATAAAATCTCACATTTTCAAAAGATGTCTGTATGTCACCCCCACACTTTGCTCATCATTGTCACCCAGGAAGTGGCTGAGAGAGGATTATTTCTTTCTGAGATGACCATACTCAGTGACCAAACTACCTTACTAAGCTGTGGACAAGGAGAAGGTAAGGAAGCAAAAGACAGAAATGTTCTGTGTTGTTTTTGAGAAGATAATTCCAAAACTAAGTAATACCAGCTGCTTGGGAGGTCAGGGAGTGTGGAAGGTCTGTCCATATGGACCATTGAATATTTTAACACTCAACCAATTTTTCAGTTGTTTTTGAAATAAAAAGCATACCATTGTCTGATTGAAGATGATCTGAAAAGAGAGGGATAGTCTTTGTATTTGGTCCCTGAGAGGTCATCTCCAAGCTCTTGGCATATTGTGCCTGCTAAAAATATATTTGTTTACCTGCAGGTTTTGAGACACAGTATGATTTAAGGTGGAGGCTTTGAGTCAAGAAATCTCAGTGAGCTGTCTCTCTCTGTCTCAGAAATAAACATTTTTAAAAAATTGAAAAAAATAGGGGGCGCCTGGGTGGCTCAGTCGGTTGAGCGACCAACTTCAGCTCAGGTCATGATCTCTCGGTTCGTGCGTTCGTGTCCTGTGTTGGGCTCTGTGCTGACAGCTCAGAGCCTGAAGCCTGCTTCGGATTCTGTGTCTCCCTCTCTCTCTGCCTCTCCCCCACTCACACTCTGTTTCCCTCTGTCTCAGAAATAAATAAACATTAACATTTTTTTTTTTTAATAAAAAAGAAGAAATCTCAGTCAGTCACTCAAGGCACTGGAGACTGTGGTCAGCCATGTGGGTGGCCAATAAGGTTTATGTGATTAAGTCTTAGTAAAGACTCTGGGCACCAAGCATCAAGTAAGCTTCCCTGGTTTATAATATACCATGCATATTATCACAAAGCAATTCTGAGAAGGTAACATTAAGACTCTTTGGGAAGGGCAACTGGAAGCTCCACATTTTGGACATTTCCTGGGCTCTGCCCTATGTACTTCTTCCTGTGGCTGAGTTTACGTTGTATCCGTTCCCCAGAAGAATCCATAACTGTGAGCATAATAGCTTTCAGTGAGTGTGGTGAGTTCTTCTAGTGAACTGTTGAACCTAAGGAGAGTCTTGAAGGCTGCCGAATTGCTGCCGGAAGTGAGGGTGGCTTATGAACTGTGCTGCTTAACTTTGCAACAGGTGGCAGAAGTGAAGGGAGCCTGTGGACATCACAGTGACTCATATTAATTCAAAGACCAGAATGTCGTTGCCAGAGTGGACCGAAAAAGGAAGTCTGTAACCTAAAAATGGGTCAGCAGTTGGAAGGCACCAATAATAGTCCTGAGATGAAGTCAAATATAAAATGCTGTTGATCTGCCTTGAATTTTGCCCACTGAGCAGCGTGAACACTTCTGTTTTTTTTTTTTAATTGAGACATAATTGACAGATATAACATCATGTTAGTTTTAAGTGTGCAACATAATGATTGGATATTTGTATGTACTGCAAAATGATCACCATAATAAGTCTAGTTAACATCATCACGTGTAGTTACAACATTTTTTTGTGTGATGAGAACTTTGAAGATCTACTCTCAAATAAGTAATATAGTATTGTTAACTATAGTCACCATGCTGCACATTACATCCCCATAACTTATTTATCTTATACCTAGTAGTCTGTACCTCTTAACCCCCTTCACCCATTTCACCCACCCCCCTCCCCTTACCTTTGGCAACTACCAATCTGTTCTCTGTATTTATGAGTTCAGTCTTTTTCTTTCTTTGTCTTTTCCTTTTAGATTCCACATATAAGTGAGATCACACAGTAATTTCCATTTTTGATGCTATATAGCTGGTACTGAGGTTGGATAGCTTTAACAGCCCAGTGGTCATCACTGGATTCAGTCTACTTGAATCAAGACCAGGCTTTTCCAGGAATCTCTGTGAGCTGGGGGCCGAATGAGCCAGTAGCTTTGACTCAGGAAGTAGAGTGGAGAGTTGCCACTTTTTCATATAAAGTTGAGATACCGCTAGAGTCAGGCCTAGTATGTTTTTGAAAATGCCAAGAGTGGCTTGCTGGTCCCTTCCCATCTTTATAACTATTGAGTGCAAGTTGATCCACCCCAAAATGGGAAGTTTAGGCTACAGAGTCATAAGACCCGCCTGAGTTAGTCATTTGTTTCTGGCAAGAGCTCACTGGTGAGCTGATAGCGGCTTCTGAAAGGAACGCACTCAGTAGCTGTATCATGGAGGCCCAAGTACAGAATCACAAGGGGATCTTCCTGGTGGAGGCTACTTTCCATTGCGCAGTCTCTCTCACACAGATCAGATATTCATAGCTCAAAGGCGTCATTAAAGCTATGGGACTGCAAAGATCTAAGGTGTTCCATAGCTGGCTGGACAAGTTCCAGGGCAACTTTCTGGTCTGAGCTCTGCTCAGAGGATGCTGACTTGTGCATTGTTTGATATAAAGAATCAAGTAAAATTCCCAGGTGAGAGTATCATCTCCAAAGCCTAAAGTGTATTAACATGATGATTCTCCTTTTTTGTCACAGAGATCCAGAGAGATAGTAGTTTTTCTTTGATTTCTGGAAGCACTGAACATTGTTAGTCCACCTAAATAGTCCCAGTAAATCACCTGGTGTGAAGGCCCTTACATATTTTTGCCAGGATTAATCATCCACTCTTGCTGAAGAGATGTGATGATGCTACATTAAGCGCCATTGACACTAGAACTTCTGACTCACCAACCAACAGGACATCTATCTAGTGACAGCTTTGGGCATTAGAAGGTAGAGGCATGCATGCTAAATTCTGACCTGCCCCTAGGTAGAAACTTTGTCCTACTAACAGTTCTTTCGCTGTGGTTCTTCCCTAACCGATAGCAGCCCTGTTGGCACTTACAAAATAGTGACGTATAAACCTGTAACACATCAATCCTACTGTACATTCAGATGTAGAAGCATCAACAGCACATTGAATTGACCCCAAAGGATCCACCTACAAAGTCACATTGAATTTTTAAAATGTTTATTTATTTTTGAGAGAGACAGAGACAGAGCACAAGTGGGGGAGGGCAGAGAGAGAGAGGGGGGGACACAGAATCGGAAGCAGGATCCAGGCTCTGAGCTGTCAGCACAGAGCTGAGTGGGGGACTCAAACTCACAGACCTTGAGATCATGACTCGAGCTGAAGTTGGACACTTAACCAACTGAGCCACCCAGGTACCCCATACACAGTCACATTAGATGCCCCCCCTGACACCCCTGTGAACACTGTCCAAATAGCAACAGTTGAATTTGGTCATCTTCTTGTGTGTAGGACAGGGTAGGATGGTGAGTTGGGGCCTATATTTAACAGAGTCATAAAAGTTAGTTCCTCTTGTCCCTGAAGTTTCCCAGTATACATTAATGGGTGTATGTGGTTCTTAGTGCCTCTTGATGACAGGGGAACTTCAGCCCACCATTAATTTTCTTTCTCCATAAAGCAATTGAGATTAGGAGAGTGCGGGGAGGGAAGGGTAGAGGATACTGTGGGAGAGAACAGTCCACATTAGTAAGCACATCCCATTCATTTTTGGTTTCAGGTGGTGCAGGAGCTGCACATAATTCAACTGAGAAAACAAAACAAAACAAAACAAAACAAAACAAAACAAAACAATGTTTTTGACCTGCTTAGTGACTATACCAGGTGGCAAGTTCATCATTACTGACACCATCTATTTTAGCCTGAGGGACTCCTGGACTCATAGCTGCAGCCACATTTTCTTTCAGTCAGGGTAGTGATGTTTGCTGCTCCATTGCCTTGATGATATCCCCACCTCCTCCTGCCTGGAGGACAGTGACCAATAATTATATCCCCTTTGGGGCAACTTAATTCAATCCTAGTTTTCATCAGTCACTCAGCCCATAAACATTCATTAACAGGTAGGAGAGAAGGGGACACTTACTTCCTCCCTGAATCCCCCCTCCCTGCTGCCTCTGCTTACTCTAAAGTATTCCTTCCTGAACCCTGGGGAGTCCTTTCATCTCCTGAACACAGGCCTATGAGGCACTTGCTATTATTATTGTTATTATTAGTAGTATTTTTAATTTTTGAGAGACAGAGAGAACACTCATACAATTGGGGAGGGACAGAGGGAGAGAGAGAGTCTTAAGCAGACTTCATGCCCGCAGCAGAGACTGACCTAGGGCTCGATTTCACCACCGTGACATCATGAACTGAGCCAAAAACCAGAGTCAGATGCTTAGCTGACTGAGCCACCCAGGCACCCCTTTATTTTTTTTTCTTCCAGAAAGCCATGGCTCTGTTAACATTCGATCTCCAGTGAGAGATGTTGCTACTTGCAAACTACTAAGTTAGCCTGGCATATGTTCATGGAAGCTGGAGGAAGACATGGGACTCCAAGTCAGAAACAAAGGATTCTTTTTTTTTTTTTAATTTTTTTTTTTCAACGTTTATTTATTTTTGGGACAGAGAGAGACAGAGCATGAACGGGCGAGGGGCAGAGAGAGAGAGGGAGACACAGAATCGGAAACAGCTCCAGGCTCTGAGCCATCAGCCCAGAGCCCGACGCGGGGCTCGAACTCACGGACCGTGAGATTGTGACCTGGTTGAAGTCGGACGCTTAACCGACTGCGCCACCCAGGCGCCCCCAGAAACAAAGGATTCTTATCACTCATAACACATCAGAAAATATGAGCCTAATGTTTGCAGTGGTACACCTTTCCCCCTACCCCACCAAGTCCCACGGTGGGGGGGGGGGGGTGGCTTGGCACAGTTGAGGAACACCGAGCTTAAGCAACCTGAATCTTTTATAATCAGTTATAAGCAATTCTAAACAATTTTTACCCTAGAAGAAGACATTATTTTTTTTTATACTGGACAATTAAAAAAACCCTGCATTCTTCTTTGAAGGGAGACACTATTTTCCAAGGCTGCTTTCCATGTAAACATACTTGAAAGGTTGTTTGAAACCAAAGGGAAGTAAATGGGTTTGTTTGCAAGAAGTGTGGAATTGCTTAAGATATATGGAGAGTTGTCTTCCAACAACCAGTTCTTAAAAGTAGTGACTTTTTCTTTTTATATTCCTACCAAAATATTACTGTATTTGCTTTTATTCAATAAAAGT